CTATCTCAACTCAGGGAGTCTGTCTAGATCTTCCTGGGCTCCTCCTTGCTAGGCTCTCTCTAGCAGTACCATGAGGCAACCGTAGGACTCTTCTCATTTGCTCCTCCTTTTTCAGGGACCCGTATTGCCATGTGATAACCAGTGTGTGAAAGTCATTATTTCATCTTTGCCTGTTTTCATTTCTAGTTATTTCATGCAGGAGAGTAAATTCAGTCCTGTTTGTCCATCTTGACTGGCTAGACTGGATTGCTATAAATTATTTTGTGTTCTGTTGATGAAACAGATTGCTGAGGGTGTCACCTGTTTCCCAAACAATTCTCATTAAGTAACCTGAAACACCTGGCACTCAGTCTGTGTCTCCTTGTGCACAGTGACCCTTGTGCAACAGGGTGTTACAGAAGAGCTGCCTACATATAAACTGTATGTAATACGATCTAAATTTTCCCTCTGATTTATATTTGAAAATTCCTGTGACATTCTTTCTGTCATTTCTTGTTATTGTCTCTTTGGTAGTGACTTCCAAACCTGGTTTCTCCCTGCCTTTCTCCCCCGCCCCCCTAACCCCTGGTAATCCACACATAGAATCTCATGTTTTGGGATTCAAATGTATCTTATTCTAGTCGACATACAGCATTTGGGTACTTAGGTGTGGGCTTGTGACTGAAGCATGAGTGGGGTTGAATAAAGACCAAGGTCTTTGACCTCAAGAAGTTAAAAATCTTTCTTTTTTAAAAATGAGGAACAGTCACTCCTACTCTTGTGGGTTGTTTCCAAAGAAGGAAATACTTGCATTTGGGGATGGATTTATGAACAGGATAGGAAAGTGAAGAGAAGGAATTCTTGTATTTCATGTTATTCCTCAGCTTCAACCAGTATTTACTGAGTGCTTACTGTAACAAGGCAAAGTGGTGGTAACTATGAGACTTGGGCAATACCCTGTCAAGGAAGAGTTTGTCACCTCTGGAAGACTGACAACATTATAAAGACCCAAGGTGTGACGCCACATTCACTCTGAGATTTCACAGCACAGTGTTGTTATTGAAGGTTGGAGAGATTAGGGAAGGCTTAGAGAACTAGAAGTAGTTTAGGAAGGACTTAAAGAAGTTCAGGGCCAGTGGTATAAACAGAGTTTAGAGTATGAGTGCCTATGGCTTGGGTAGGGACAATGAGAGAGACAGAAGTAAGGGGCTCCTGTGGGTGAAGGGTTAGAAAAGTAGAGTTGTTTCTGTGGGCTCTCACAGGCCGGGCAAGGCATTTGGACTATGGGGAGCTACAGATGGCTGGGGTAGACACTCATGAAGATTTTTCTGGAATGGAAGATTAGGGTTAATGTGTATGAGAGGGACAAGGACTGCTGACAGAGACTTGATGTCAAGCACTATGTGTTAATCATCTTTGTAGTCCCAGACACTAGTTCGTACTTAATGCTTGTTGCTTAAGAGCATGCAAAAGGTTATCTTTTTCCATCTAAACTAATAATGTTCTTGATAACCATTGGTCTTGTCAAGGTCAGGACAAATATTGTGAAAGAATACCTTCAAACCCAGTATTATTTTGTTTGAAGAGCTATAAGTAGGCACATTTGAAGTTAATTTTTCTAGCCCTTTCTTGTAGGAAATTTAGTTTTTTAACTTGTAGGTTGTCAAGTCATTATATTTATGAAGTACACAGTGATGCTATGATTAATATAATATGGAATAATTAAATCAAAATAATACATCTGTCCTTCAAATACTTAATTTGTAGTGAGACCATTTGAAATTTACTCTTAGTGATTTTGAAATGTGCAAATACAATTGGACCCCTCTATCTAAACTCAGAATATGCACATTCAATCAACCATGGGTCAAAAATACTAAAAACAACAAAAAATACAATACGAATAAAAAACAATGCAGTATAACAAGTGTTTCCATAGCATTCACACTGAATTTTGATAAGGGTGTGGTTGGAACCAATCCTTCCCCATCCACCCAATACAGATGGCAAATTACACATTATTATTTACTATATTTACCAGGTTGTGCAACATATCTAAAGGGGGGGGGGTATTCCTATGTGAAGCTTTGTATCCTTCAAGCCTTATTTGGTTTTCTTCATTTTCCTTCTTATTACACATTATTATTTACTATATTTACCAGGTTGTGCATATCTAAAGGGGGGGGGGTATTCCTATGTGAAGCTTTGTATCCTTCAAGCCTTATTTGGTTTTCTTCATTTTTCTTCTTAAAGGAAAAAGCACTGATAGAAATTGCACAACTCGGCTGTTGACAATCCCTGCCTCCTCCATCCACAATAAATTCTTCATGGTCTCAGAAATCTCTTAAGAAGACATACCACACATAAGATCAGCCAGCCCACGCACACACTTCCAACAGAGCCTGGGGAGACGCAAGCTCCCACAGAAGCACAGTTCTCACCACGCAGATTTAGGTATACACACACACACACACACACACACACACACACACACACGCATGCACACACCGCGCATTTACTCGTTGCCTATGCAGTACAATCCTTTGGTTGGGTTAGGCGCTCTCACTCCACCTTTAGGCGCACACACCACTCGCGTGCACAGTCTACTCACACAACCACTCACAGCGCACAAAGCCCTCAGGCCAGCACCCTGAGCCTGCAGGCCCGGGAGGGGACTCGCCAGCTGCCTGCCTCACGTCACTCCCGCGCGCCAGTTGCGTCATCCTGGCGCGCCATTGCAGCAGGCACCGGCCGAGACTTGAAGTGCGGGCAGCTGCTGCAGCTGAAGCCCGAGCTGCCGGGTGCGAGTCGCGAGGGCGGGTACGGGCTGCAGGAGGCTGCTCGGGCTGCGAGCGCCCGGACAGGTGTCATCAGACCTGGCGCGACCCCTGCAAGTTTCCAGGTGGTGGGTGTTCTCCTTTCTCCCCCTACTCAGGGGTTTCCCCTGAGAACCCCGCCGGGCGCGTGCCGGGGTGGTGGTCGGGATTGTTTGCTCGGCAGGGAGACCACGCTGCCGCACGGGTTCCCCGGGGAGGAGGGAGTCCTTAAGGACTCAGCCCCCAAAGCATCGGAAGGGGTTGGAGAGCCGCCAGCCAGTCCTGAGTGCCTTGGAGGCACCGAGGCAGCAAGGCGACTCTGCTGCTGGTGCTGGGGCTCACCCGCTGACAGCCACCATTGATTGGAGCACCGACGGCGGCACACTGCTGGGCGCCTGGTGCGCACCGTTCAGACCTCCAGCGACTGCGGAGGCAGGGGCAGCCCTAGTACGCCCATGTCCAGGTGGGAAGACCGAAGCTTGGGAGTTAACCCACTTGTCCAAAGTCCTGTAAGCAGTGGGGATTTAAACCTCAGGGCTGCCCCTTCTTTCAGATCCCCCAGGTGGCTTCCCTTAGCCTGCACTGACTGATGCCCGGGGATTTTTTCCTACCTTGGGTAACCCTGGAGCTCGGGGGGGGGGGGGGGCTCAGGCAGCAGCGGGCTCCCCCTGTGGTATGGATATTCTTTGCCTAAAACTGATAACTCAGTGCTGAAGTTTTATCAGACAGAGGACATTTCATCCCCGGTGCATTGCTTTGCTCTGGTCCTCCTGGAGTATTGTGTTAGATTGTTACTTTAAATCGTTGAGTAGTTATATTGGGGGGAGGGGTGGGGGTTGTAGGAAACCTGTATGAGGATTGTAAAGAAATCAAAAGGAACACTATTAACCTGGGTGTGATCTTTTAGGATTTTAAAGAAATCATTTAAGGATTGGTGAGAAATAGTCAAAAGCTAAAATAATTTGACAATGGAAATTATATCAGAAAGCTTTTAGTTAAGTTACTTTGTATTCCAGGAAGAGTTCCCTCTTAGAGAACATTTTCCTTTAGGGTAGGAAAAGACTTATTGACAAAAGTTTAAAACTTACAAATCAGATATTTCAAATTAGTATGTTTTTATTTTAGAGTTTTGTAGGTGCATTATAAATGCAAATATTATTTCTTTTAAGGGATAAGAAAATTAAGAGCTTAATTCATTTCGGTGGGAAAAATTAGGGATGCCCTAATTGCCGTTATTCATTTTGCATTGCATAAGTCTGTGTGAGTGAACATTCTCAGTACATTCTCAGTACATAATTTATCTTATCAGGATATATGTAACATGCATTTAATAAACACATGCCTTCCTTCTCTCAGGAACTGTTCTCGGCTTAACAGAAACGAAATAATTCTTTGATACATATTTGAGATAATCTTACTTGCAAAAGGCTATTTGTAGCAGTTTTGCTCACTAATACTAAGGATACAATTGTTGTATCTTTATTGATAGAAGAAGTCTTAGAATAAAAATGTTTACTTTTTAAATTATTTTTTTTTATCAGGGCAGTCTAGTTCTTATAAATACAGTTACTCAACATGATAGAACACCAGTAGTTCCTTGGACACCGTGTTGTGGAGCAAACAATATAAAAGTCAGAATTTTCAGTTGTCTTATTTATTCTCTGGACCCCTTATTAATGTACATGGCATATATTTTTTATAGCACATGATTTGGGAGCTACACTTTGTGACATGGACGAATCTACACTGTCCCTTGGCACAATAGATGTTTCTTATCTTCCAAATTCATCAGAATACAGTGTTGGTCGATGCAAGCATGCAAGTGAGGAATGGGTAAGTTTAAAATAAGAGTTAAAAGTAGAAAACCTAAACTGCGTTCATTTCAGTGTTGTTTATGAAGGTGAAAATGCTGATAGCAACATATTATCAATAAAGGTTAACAGCTATAGGAACTGCCACCAGCTGTTCGAAGGTATGTTTATGTAGTCTAATAATTCAGTCTGCATGTTTCTTTTCCACGATGGTAGGGACCAGAAATCTTTGGATTTTTTTTTTTTTTGGGGGGGATATTTACATATAGCAATTAATAATGAGATATGTTGGGGATGAGACCAAAGTCTAAACCTGAAATTCTCTCATATTTCATAATATACATTATACATATCAACCAAAGGTAATTTATATGGTATTTTTATTTTGCAGTTTTTTCTTTTTTCTTTTAGATTTTTGGTGTGGGATGTATGTCAGCCTCTGGGTCTGGGATTCAAACTGCACAACTGGCCATGTGGGATCCAGCACTTTAACCACCATACCACCTGCTAGCCTGTATTACAGTTTTGATTGTAATCTGTTACATTATTTCAGATATGGAATTTTCCACTCATGTAGTCATGTTGGTGCTAAAAATGTGTTAGATTTTGAATTTTAGATTTTCAGATTAGGGATGCTCAATCTGTATTTGAAAACTATTATGGTATGATGTTAATTAGGAAGGAAAAAATGGGTAGAAATTTTAAGTACAGCGAGTATGTTAAAAAGCAAAACATATTTGCATAGGAAAAAAACTCTAGTTTTTCTTATGGGTGTTGGTGTAAGAATTTACTTTTTTCTTTCTCTCAGTATCTACTTTCCATGAGTTATATTTAGTTAGAGTAAATATTATAATGGAAGTAAATTTTAAAAAATTAAAAATAGGAAATCACAGTTTAAATCCAGTCGAAAAAGCATGCATTTTCTTGGGCTGTTTTTTCTATTTTAACATAGTATGGCATGTTTTATGCATTACCTCAAACTGCTTCATATTAAAAAAGTTGTGATTTTTTTCTTATTTTTGAGAGTATTTGTGAGATTTGAACAACTAATAAAGTTAATAGAAAGTAGGATTTGACTTTAATAGCACAACTATAATTCTAATAATTCTAGCCTTTAAATTGTCCATAAGGTAAAAGAATGTTATATACATTTATCTTGGTATTTCCTTTAAAGCAAAATATTTTAAGCTGTAGTGTAACAACTTGCTTACTGTGTAATACCTTTGTGTCAATAGTTCTAGTGTAGGAGTGTGTGACTTAAAAAGGGAGAAGGTTAATTATTAGTATACGGATCCATTTATTTATCTTGCTCTGTCAGAAGTTCATTTGACCTTCTACAATTTGTTTCTTTTAAAATTTATTTATTTATTACTTCTGTGAGCAAGAGAGAGAGCGAGACAGACTGGCGCCCCCCCTTTGGGGTTCTCATGATATGGTCTACCCTCAGCCAGCCCTAGATCATCGACATGTATGTCCCGTGTGTTCAGGGAGGTCCCTGGGCATGAACCTGGCATCATGCCATGTGGGTCAGCCTCACAGAGGCTGTGTCCATCTGGCTCTCCAACTTAAGATGTTAAAACTTTGAATGGTGCCTTGGTTGTGCAGCGTGCATTGTCTGCTATTACTGTTCTTTTGCGTGCAGCTTTTGTTTATGTGACTGGCTTTTTTCCAAAGGTTGATCATGGAGAGGGTTCTTAATGAGAAATCACCATGTCGAGGGCGCCTGACTCTCTTTCTCTCTTCTTGCATGCACACACATGCACTCTCAGGAAAGAAACAACAATTAAAAACTGAAAAACATGTCATAAATTTCTGTTCCATCTGAAATATCTTAGATTTAAAGACCAAATGGTCAAATATAATTCTCTTGCCATTTAGACACTCTTTTTTCCCTTAACGTTTTTTAGGGTGAATGTGGCTTTAGGCCTGCTGTCTTCAGATCTGCAACCTTAAAATGGAAAGAAAGCCTAATGAGCCGGAAAAGGCCATTTGTTGGAAGATGTTGTTATTCCTGTACTCCCCAGAGCTGGGTAAGAACACTACTGCTTGTTGACCTTTCATAAAGAGAGTGAAATAAGTGACATCGATTTCCAACTTTGTGTGAATTTGTATTTTGTAGTTTTTAATATTTTCTAGAACTGAAACCCATGTTTATAAACCAAATATTACAAGGAAAGATGTTTCCTTTTTCCTGTTCACTTGTTTAGTAAATATTGGTCTCATATTTGATACTAGCTAATATTCTGGTTCTTTTATAGTTTCAATGTGACTTTAGGGGGGATAGAGATCTTATTTTTAGTTAACTTTCCCAAAGAGTTGGTGAGAACCTCCATGTAACTTCTAGGTATTGGACTATAACATTGAGTAATATCTTGGCAAGAGAGAGACAGATAATGGAAAAGAATGAGAGGTTAAAGCTGTGACTTTGCTATTAGCTTTTGCTAACTTCTTGTTCCTGGGGGTTGTCTTGACTACATGACAGTGAATGACAGTCACTAAAATGTTAGGATGAAAATTTAAGAAAAAGTATATATGAATTTATTTTTTTTTATTATGGCAAAACAAACAAACCCAAATCCCCACAAACCATCTATGTCTTCTATGTTACAGCATTGTTTTTGAGAAGAGTTAATTGAGTGAGAGTTATGCACTTAAAATGACTTTGATGAGAGAGGCAAGTTAGCACAGCAGCATAGAATTTTATATGCCTATGCTTTAAGGCAGTAGAGTTACCTTTTAAAAGTGTATTTGGATGCTAAATTCTCTGGGATGGGCCAATGATTAAGATGTAGAGGGACCAGCAGTTGGCGTAATGGCTATGTCAACGCACCCATGGCGTTAACTCAGGCCAGGCATGTGTGCATACGTGCTCAAGATCCCGAGAGGAGAATGGAGAAGGGATTGCGGCGTGGCCATTCCCCCCGGTGGGTGATTTCTTGCTTTCTGTCTCTCTGTCTCTCTCTGTCTTTCTGGAGAGCGCACGCACCCTATAGCAAAAGCCTCTTCAAAAAAAAAAAAAGATGTAGAAATTCTGCTTTTTAGGTGCCAACCCTTTTGAGAGGCCGCTTATAATCTGTGTAAATACTCTGCTTAGGGGCTTGACAGGATTTAGAATTCTGCCTCTAGTATGAGGGATTTTCTTACCTGGGAGAGATTTATGTAGAACTGGTACAATTTATGTTAAATGCTCAGATCCAGTCAGGAATATCTTGATATTGGGGTCAGCATTTGGCGTAATGGCTATGTTGCTAGACTTCCATGTAGTAGACTGTAATTTGAGTCCTGAACCCAGTGGGTTAAACTCACGCCGGACGCATGTGCATGTGTGCCCAAGATCCCGACAGGAGAATGGAGGAGAGGGGATTGTGGTGTGGCCATCCTCCCTGAGGGGTGATTTCTCGCTTTCTGCCTCTCTGTCTCTTGTCTTTCTGGTGAGCGTGTGTACCTTATAGCAAAAACCTCTCCAAAAAAGAAAAAAAAAGAGGCTATCTCGATATAAATATTGCTTCTTTTTAATCACAATTCCCTTGTAAAAATTTGGTAGAATTGAAGGATCATGTAAATTTCTAGTCTAGGAGTAAGACCAGTTCAGATTGATAGGCTAGTAAAAATAAAGATTTAAATACAAAGTCATGTGGCTTTTTTTTTCCTTTACTTTCTTTTTTTTTTTTAAAGATCTGGCATCTGACCTAATTCTAATTTTGATTGCCTAAAACAATACCTAAAATAATACCTTAACTGCAGTGTGTTCTTATGTCAGGACAGAGTATAGGAAATTATTTGGTGGTGGTGATGGTTTAGGATGGGGATAGATAAATAATGTAAGAAGTAATTGACTTTTGCTTAAATATTCTACCTGATAGAGATGAATATTATCTTGAATTCATTCTGTGGCATGTTCATTTAAAATAATTTGGTTGAAAATGATTTTATATTAGGTTGTTGGAAAAGTCATGATGCATTTTTGCTTAGAAAAATATGTCACGATGTTTCCGACAACCTAAAGTAACTTTTTGATATTTGCTATTCTTTCTTTGAAATCCTATGTTCCTTTCTCCAGAGATTTCTCTTACATATATTTACCTTTTTTGTTGTTTATATTATGTCTTTCATCACTTATTTGTGGAATACATTGATAAAGCTGTAGTCCTTTTTTTCAGCCGACCTATCTCTAGATTATCTTCAGGGTCATTTGTCAAAAATGTGACCTGTGGGAACCAGCAGTTAGCGTAATAGCTATGTCGCTGGACTCCCATGTAGTCGACCGCAGTTCGCGTCCCGGACCCGGTGGCTTAAAATTCATGCTGGGTGCGTGTGCATACATGCCCAAGATCCCCAGAGGAGAATGGAGGAGAAGGGATTGCGGCGTGACCATCCCCCCTGGGGGGTGATTTCTCGCTTTCTGTCTGTCTGGTGAGCGCACGCGCCCTATAGTGAAAATCTCTCCCCCCCCAAAAAAAAAATAAAAAAGTGACCTGTACTTCTACATTTTCTTGTTACGTGGACAGTCATTGAAGAAACTAGAAAGACCATAGTCTAGAGCAAGATCCGAGATCAAATTCTGTACTCCAGCCATTCTGAATGTTCTTTTTTTTTAATGTGTCCTTGTTTATTTTTAATAATTATTTTATTTAACTTTATTTATTATTATTATCATTATTTTTTCCAGTTTGATCAGAGAGAGAGAGAGAGAGATAGAGAGGAAGTGAGAAAGCAAGACACCAGGTCCGAGACTTGAACCGTGGTCAGCCATGTGGGAGTCCAGCGCCTTTAACCATCATGCCACTTGCCGGGCTCAGTCTCAATGTTCTTATGTATAAATAATAATAATTCTTGGGACCAGCAGTTAGTGTAATGGCTATGTCGCTGGACTCCCATTTAGTTGACTGTGGTTCGAGTCCTGGACCCGGTGGCTTAAACTCATGCCAGGCGCATGTGTGTGTATGCCCAAGATCCAGAGAGGAGAATGGAGGAGAAGGGATTGCTGTGTGGCCATCCCCCCTGGAGGGTGATTTCTTGCTTTCTGTCTCTGTTTCTCTGTCTTTCTGGCAAGCAGAAGTGCCCTATAGCAGAAACCTCTCCAAAAAAAAAAAAAAAATCTCATGTCAGGATTTTTGGGAGATTTAGTAATCTAACAATAACTGCATGGTACTTAGCATGGTCATTTTTACTTTGGGAGTTTCTGATATTTTTGTCAATGATTTAAGTTACCTATAGTTTTATTTTTTTGGAGTGGAGGTGAGGAGTGGGGCAAGAAGGGGAATGACAGTATTTTCTAAGGTTTTGAGGATTAGTTTTGTGTTTATGAGTTTTAGAGGCTAAAAAAATGCCTTTTAATAAAATATACTTTGTTTTAGTCACATTTTTGAAGCAAAGCCTAACTTTATGATTGAATTTCAAAAGTTATCAATAACTACTGGGCCAGCAGGTGGCATGGTGGTTAAGGTGCTGAACACTTCCACGTGGACGACTACGATTCAAGTACTAAACCTGGGGGAATGCTTTCTCACTCCCCCTCCCCTTCTGGTCAAATTAAAGAAATAAATAATGAATAAATGCAATTAAATCTTAAAAAAAAAGTTATCAAGAACTAGTTATGTAAGTTTTCGCTATCAATCCAATTATATATTTATTTCTACATTTATTTTGTTTTATATAGGATAAATTTTTCAACTCCAGTATTCCATCATTGGGTTTGCGGAATGTTATTTATATCAATGAAACTCACACAAGGTAAAAAGAAATTTCTTACATTTCTAATATATCTCAAGAGAAAAACCTCTGTAATAATCAACACTTGAAGGTGAAATATGTTTTCAAGAGTTAATAGACTGTGAGCTTCTGACACAAGAGGCATAAACATTGGAAGCATTATAGCCACCAGGCAGATGAGTTACAATCACCACTGCTATACTTGTAAATATTTTTATAATGTTCTTTAACTCGTTCATGGATTGATTTTGCATACTTTGTGTACCAAGCGTGGCGGCTGTTTGAGGAGAGGTGAGGTTTGCATGGTCTGTTGTGGTCTGCTATGACTATATCACATTTAAAAACAGTATGAGTGGGTACAGTGTGCTCAGTCTATAAGGTATTGGAAGGTATTTTTCCCCTTCTGAGCAAATGTCCTCTGATTTACTATGTACCTAAGACTTTCCTTAGAATTCTTATTTCCCAATTCCAGACATACGGAAGTAGGCCAGTAGGCACCAGAGTGAGAGAAAAGGGCCTTTGTTTTCTGTGAATCCAGGCTAGAGGATAACGAAGGAGGGCAGGAAGGTTGCGTGAATGTCTGCAAAACAAGGCGAGCAGCGCCCAAAACGGCTGGCAGGCCTGGTAGCACTGAGGGTGGAGCTTGGACTAGACAAGGAGGCTCAGGTGATGAGGATACTTGACACAAGAAGTCGAATAAATTGGAAGCCTCTCTGATCTTACTTTTAAAAATTTTATTATATGATCCTGTATGAGAATGATAATATCAGCACATATTGACGTTTTTCTTTTCTTTTTATTTTTTTTTTTAAATAAAACTAAGGTTAAAGTCAAGGGACAATATTTTTTTTCCTATTCCCTGGATGCTCTTCTCTTTTCTTGTTTTTTATATGTAAAGGAGAGAGGAGAGGCTGGTTCATTGATTTTATTTTCTCTTGATTAATATTATTAATCTCCTCAGAAGTCTCATAGTTTCTTCCTTTTTATGTTAGAAGACATTTTACATATAAAGCCAAAAGGTTCATTTGTTCCTCTCAATCGGAGGCAGTTAAAAAAAATAGAATTGACTATGTTGATTGAGCAGTATAAAACTATTCAAGAAAATAAACTGCCTTTGTGCTGTTTAGCTCCCCTGCGTGCTAAATGAAGCAAAGCTTTAACACTTTTACACATGCTTGTGTGCACATAGACACAATGCTTTCATTCGGTTGCATAGAGCTTGTTTAGAGAGCTTAGATTTTGTGTATTCCATAATAATTCTGAAGATGTACATTGAAGGAGGAGTTTAGGATAAATACTTAGCATAGAGGGCCACATTTTTGCAAGACTGAAATGAAGGAAAGAAGGAAGAAAGTGAGGATAGCGGGAGGAGAGATGAAGGAGCAAGTGGCCTGTGAACGGTTTCCTTCAGATTATGTCTCTTCACTCAGTTAGTGAATTTGTATTTGAATTTGTCTACTGGTTGTATAACTATGGAGGAAATGATAACGTGGCAATGTATTATGTAATCACACATGGTTCCAAATCATTACGTAATGAGAGCGTGTAGCATCCTGATTGTGAAATCCGTCTCCCTCTTCTCCCATCTAAACACCACGTAGTCACTATCACTGTCAGGAGTTTGTCTTATCCCTTAGGCATGCCAAACATGCATTTATCACAAAGGAACTTCTGGCTTTGTGAACCCGGAGTACCAGCTATTCACATCGTAGACTGGTTTTGCCTGACTTCTCTCAGCTGATCAGCCTGGCCAGTTCAGTTTAAGAGTGATTGATTGTTGGAGAAGAAATACTATAATAATTAAAACAAAACAAAACAAAACAAAAAGAGCCCTTCATGGTAGAAAAAGACTTTTAACTTCATCTTTTCAGAACCTATAGCTGTAACTATAAAACGATAAGCTATACAACATTCGCTCCTTATCTGTAGGGAGTACGTTCTTAGGCCTGCAGTGGATGCCAGAAACCACAGGTAGTACTAAACCCTGTGTATAACGTTTTTTCCTATACTGTGCATATATACCTATGATAAAGCTTAATTTCTTTTGACAGTTTTTTTTTTTTTTTTTTGCTATAGGGCATGCACATTCCCCAGAAAGAGAGAGAGAGACAGAGAGACAGAAAGCAAGAAATCAGGGATGACCATGCTGCAATCCCTTCTCCATTTTCCTTTGGGGATCTTGGGCATGCACACATATGCACCTGGTGTGAGTTTAAGCCACTGAGTCCCAGACTCGAACCGCAGTTGGCTACATGGGAGTCCAGTGACATCGTCATTATGCCAACTGCTAGTCCTGATAAAGCTTAATTTTTAAAATAGGTACAGCAGATGATTAACAGCAATAACTAATAATAAAATAGAACAATTATAACAACGTACTGTAATAAAAGTTAACGTAAATGTGTTCTCAAAATATCTTAGTGTAGTATACTGCAGGTAACTGAAACCAGCTAAAGGGACTACTGTATAGCTCATCTGTCTATCTTATGCATTGCATTCAACATAGTTGTTTTTTTAATGATATTAATAAAGCTAGACTTTAAAATTTCTTTTGTTTTTAATATCGGGGTTATCATTCAGCAAAGTTACATGATTCAAGCAATTATACACAAGCTCCAAGTTTCCATTTACTGAGAAAACATACAAGAAATTATCAATAAGATGGGCCACCTAGCATCCTTAACTGCTAGAGAGAATTTACTACTGGGGAACCCTAAGCCCCCGGAATAGAAGATATTAAGCTTTTTGTTTTATTTTGTTTTTAGTTTTTGCTGTAGGGTGCATGTTCTTGTTGGAGAGAGACAGAGAGAGGGAAGATGAGAAATCACCCTCTAGGGAATGGCCATGCCACAATACCTTCTCCTCCATTTCCTTCTCAGAAATTGAAGATGCACGCACATATGCTGGTGTGATTTTCAAGCCACCGGGTGTGGGAATCAAACCATTGACCATGTGGGATCTAGCCACCTTAACTCCATGCCATGTGCTGGCCCCTAGACTTTGTTTTTATGGGAGGAAAACCACTGTGTAATTTAAGCAACTTGTCTTTAAGTAGCCAGAGTACTTCTGTGCTAAATCATGTTCACATTGCAGGCACCGAGGATGGCTTGCTAGACGTCTTTCTTATGTCCTTTTCGTTCAAGAGCGAGATGTCCATAAGGGCATGTTTGCCACCAATGCCACGTGCTGACCCCTAGACTTTGTTTTTATGGGAGGAAAACCACTGTGTAATTTAAGCAACTTGTCTTTAAGTAGCCAGAGTACTTCTGTGCTAAATCATGTTCACATTGCAGGCACCGAGGATGGCTTGCTAGACGTCTTTCTTATGTCCTTTTCGTTCAAGAGCGAGATGTCCATAAGGGCATGTTTGCCACCAATGTGACGGAAAACGTACTGGACAGCAGTAGGTGAGTGTGCAGACGCTGTTGTAAAGGTGGGGAGAGGCAGGTCTAGGTGGTAAAGGGCTGGTGAGGAAATAATTCCCATCATTCACCTTCAGTTTCTTTAAAAGCCTGTCTCAAGATGTGTTTGCATTTCCAAACGTTGACTGTTAAGCTCTAAGACAACTGAAGAAAGACAGGAGAAGAAATGGTTTTGGGGAATAGTGCCATGTGGGAATAGCAGTCTTGTTTTATGAATTAATAATTGAAGGGGTTTCTAAAACATAAAAGGTGAGTTAGAGTTCAGAGATGCACATATTTCCAGAGTCTCTGTTTTCTGTAACATGCTTTGTCAAAAGAACTGCTGTGTTTAGAGCCAATCTGAATTTTCTGTAATATGAATACTGGAGATAATTATATTTCCTGTTTTATTTATTTACTTTTATTATTTTTTAGAGGTTTTTATCTTAGGGTACGTGTGCTTGCTGGAGAGAGAGAAAGAGACAGTGAGAGGGAAAGTGAGAAATCACCCTGCCAGGGGAAATGGACAAACCACAATCCTTTCTCTTCCATTCTCCTCCCTGGATCTTGGACATGCATGCACATGTACCCACTGGGATTTTTAAGCCACCAGGTCCAGGATGTGAACTGCAGTCAGTCAGACATGTGGGAGTCCAGTGAAATGACCACTATGCCATCTGTTGGTTCCTGCATTTCCTATTTTAGAGCCAAAAGAGAAAGTGAGTTGATACATGTGTTTTTTTTTTTTTTTTTAAAAACAAACAAACAAACAAACAAACAAAACAGATGGTGAATACCTAGGTACAAATTCTTGTACTAAAAAGTCATTGTTAGAAATCTTTAGAGAATTAGATACGGTCTTTGCTCTCAGAGGAGTTTAGCTCCATATGGATGAGGCTGATGTGAACTCAGATTAAATGGGGAAGAAATAAAGATTCTGGAACATGAGAGTTTGGGTGAAGGTTGCTGTCTTCTTCCTCATTGCTGTGGCCTACTTGAGAGATCTACCTGGCTTCGATGAGCAGGAGACCAAGGTGGATTGAAAGACTGCTTTGGGACCAGCTGGTGGCATGGAGGTTACAGTGCTAGATCCCACATGGCCAACTCTGGTTCATGTCTCGGACCCAGTGGCTTGGAAAACATGCTGGTTATGTGTGCATGCATGCCCAAAACCCAAGAGGAGAATGGAGAAAAAGAGGTTGTGGCATGGCCGTATATCCATGGGAGGGTTATCCTCCCCATCCCCCACAGCCACCCCACGTCGAGTGCAGCAGCCCTATAGCAAACTAAGATAAACGTAAAAATAAAAAGGAAAGACTGCCCTTTGAATTCACAAAGGCCCTTTGTAGACCTTATGTGTGTGGTTGTTAAAGTCTGAATACTGCTGGCATGTAATAGGTACTCAAGAGATATTTATTGAATGAACAATTGAATAGTTGATAGTAGAGATCTATTAGTCATGTTAATTACTTGTGAAAACATTCCTGGGCAGAATATAATAGATGCTATTTCAGGGGTAGGCTTGGCATGCACCAAGTATCTTGTGGAATTGGTCCTTTTTTATGTTAATTTTTATAAAGCAAACATTATAGAACTTTTTATCCCCCTTAGAGAACTTTACATTTTTTTTGTCTGTTCAATGTTGCTCCCCTTTGTCCTACCCACCACCCTCTTCCACCCACTCTCCACCACGTATTCCCATCCCTCGGAGTCTCTGGTATGTACACTTATCTTCTCTACTGTCACATCTTTGGGTCTTCTGGTTTCTGCCAGAGTGTGCAGACATTGGGTACATGTTGAGGAGTGATACACAATTTGATTCTTTCAAAGCATGGCTCATGCCCTTAACATTAAGTCCTCTATAGTCATCCCCTTTAATCAAAGGGATTGGTCTCTGGCTCATTCACTTAACATTAAGTCCTCTGTAGTCATCCCCTTTAATCAAAGGGATTGGTCTTTTTATATTAATCCATTATGTGGAGTTTGCTGTATTTCACTAGTCTAAAATCAGCCACAGTGGGAGAAAACATAATGATTTGAAGCTCTCTTGAATTATATATATTCCATTTTCTAGTTAAAACCTTCAAGTATGCTTCATTCCATCCAGATATTTTGATTAGTAACTGGAATGTTAGATGTGATTTAAGCAGATTTAACCTGTTTTTTTACCCTGAGTCAAGTGGGAGATTTATAAAACTGGATTAAACTTTTCCTTTTATCTCATTGCTTATTGCTCTGTGTTGTTTCCTCTGTGTTGTTTTGATCTTGAGTTATACCTTTTTTAAAATTACTTGTTTGGTTTGAAAAATCACTTATAAATATTTATATCCCTTTTTGTAATCTTCCAGAGAGTTTTACATGTAATTCTAATGGGGTCACAATATAAATCAATAGTAAATTAGGTCTTCAAAGCAAAAATCACATATCACTTCAGAAATGGGTTTTGGGTTCCTCTGAATTATCTGCCTAAAGAGATAATCTTTCTTTTTTTTTGGAGAGATTTTCACTGTAGGGCGCGTGCGCTCGCCAGACAGATAGAGAGAGACATAGAGACAGAAAGCGAGAAATCACCCCCCAGAGGGGATGGTCATGCCGCAATCCCTTCTCCTCCGTTCTCCTCTCGGGATCTTGGGCATGCACGCACACGTGCCCGGCGTGAGTTTTAAGTCACCGGGTCCAGGACACGAACCGCGGTCGACTATGTGGGAATCCAGTGACATAGCCATTACGCTAACTGCTGGTTCCCAAGAGATAACCTTTCTTTTTAAATTCTCTGCTACATTGCAACTTTGTGTCCCCACAGCATAATGGAACATTGAAGTACAGTAGTTGTAACCACTGAATTTGAATACAGTTCTTAAATTTGCTTTCTAGTTTCCTCAAGGATTCACTGATTTAGGAAGATAATATTTAATAGATAGCCAGAAAGAACTTTTTTTTTTATTTGAGCTTATTCTCACTCTTTATCACATATGAAAGAGACCATATGTTTTGTTTCATGACTTATAGGTACAGTTTAGAAAATACTCAACAGGGAACATAGCATAGGACCGGTTACATTGTGTTTCTTTTCATTGTCAAATCAGAGTACAAGAGGCAATTGCAGAAGTGGCTGCTGAATTAAACCCAGATGGCTCTGCCCAGCAGCAATCCAAAGCCATCAGTAAAGTGAAAAAGAAAGCCAGAAGGATTCTGCAAGAGATGGTTGCCACTGTCTCGCCATCTATGATCAGGTACGAAAAGATGAAGCCGGAATCTTCCGACAGGCGCTGTCCTGTTTTGAGCAAATAGGACTGAATCATTGAACTTCCCTGGCACACCGTTCTTTGTCCAAAACTTTTCACGTGTTCTGATGTTAAATCCAATTCTTCTTTATCTTGTATTCAACTGCCATATGAAGTACTGTGGTAGGCTTTAAGGAGCCCCAGTCTCTGCTAGTGGATAACAGCCATTGTGTTACTGCTGACATCTGTGCTCCTAGATTAACTGCGAGTCATATTACGTATATCCATGTCTTAAAGGGAATGGTTTGTGTGCATTAGAGAGATCACTTTACTCCCCAGGTATTCTCTTCACTATTCATCTCTCAAAAACAGAGTGGATTAGAGTGAAATGTGATTTTAGTCCATAATAAATGGATACTTTTATAAGTAGTATGTATGAGAATATCGAGTTAGTGTCCTTCTTCCTCGATTCAGATACACACATATCTTTAGGCTGTTGGTTTAGAAGCTTAAGTGTATTTATCATCTAAATATATGTCTATACATGTACTTTTTAAAATCGTACTTTCTTTCAGATTGACCGGATGGGTGCTGCTAAAACTGTTCAACAGTTTCTTTTGGAACATTCAAATTCACAAGGGTCAACTTGAGATGGTTAAAGCTGCGACTGAGGCAAGAATTTCTGTGACTCTGTCAGTCTGTTTGCCCCATTTTTGTACAGTGACTTCAGAGTTCGTTTGGAAACGTTCTCTTGTATGTTGTTGAATCTTTCAATCTGGAGGGCTTCCTGTTGGCGATAACCGCACTAACTGTGCCCTGGGAGACTACGTGGGGTGAGGGAGTCCATACCAGCGAAGCGAATGTAGAATGGCTTGCAAGTTACCTTGCAGCAGTGCTGAAGACCAGAAAGAACAGCCCCTACTTTTTACATGAGAAAATAGACTGAAAAGTTGTCTCAAGTCTCAGTTAAGTGACTTTCCCAGCTTGACTTCAAAGCTTATGCTTCTTTTTTTCTTTCTTTTTTTTGGAGAGGTTTTTGCTATAGGGCGCGTGCGCTCGCCAGACAAAGACAGAGACAGAAAGCAAGAAATCACCCCCCACGGGGCATGGCCACGCCACAATCCCTTCTCCTCCATTCTCCTCTCGGGATCTTGGGCACGCATGCACACGCGCCCGGCGTGAGTTTTAAGCCACCGGGTCTGGGACGCGAACCACATTCGACTACGTGGGAGTCCAGCGACATAGCCATTTCTCTAACTGCTGGTCCCAAAGCTTATGCTTTTTCACATGATTAGGAATGCCTCGCAGTAGAGGTATGGGTCAATTTGAACTCCTGATTATGCTTTTTTCCCTCCCTAAAAAAGTAATTTTTTTGTTCTGTTTTTATAGTTCTCGTTTTAACTAGATAAGTATTAAATTGAAAGAAGCTCATATTATTGGAAGATATTTTAAAGAGTGAGTCACTGATTAGCCAAATCAGTCTTAGAGTGACTAACTCAGTAAGGTGATTGCAAGGTGTTACTGAACTTTACATTTGAATTTAAGTTTGATACTTTTCTCTTTATTAGACGAATTTGCCGCTTATATTTCTACCAGTTCATAGATCCCATATTGACTATCTGCTGCTCACTTTCATCCTCTTCTGCCATAACATCAAAGCACCATACATTGCTTCAGGCAATAATCTCAACATCCCGATCTTCAGGTAAGATCAGTTTATTTTGAAATTTAAGGTATTAAAAAGATTATGTTTTGAATGTTTTTCTTATACATTAAAAAAAAAAATTACCACAGGCCATGTGCACTTAATGAGAGAGCACCCCCTGGGGGGGCGACCATGCTGCAGTCCCTTCCCCTCTCTTCTCCTCTTAGGATTTTGGGCCCGTAAGCACATGCAACCTACATGTTTCTTAAGCCACCAGGTCCAAGACTCAAACTGTACAGTCGGCCATGTGGGATCCAGCTGCCTTAACCACCATGCCACCGGCTGGCCCTTTATTATGCCTTTTTCATACAGGTTATTGTAAAGATAGTATTAGTCTCTCTCTCTCTTTCTCTTTCTTTCTTTCTTCCTTCCTCTCTCTCTCTCTCTCTTTCTTTCTTTTTCCCTCCCTCCCTCCCTCCCTTTCTTTCTTTCTTTCTTTCTTTCTTTCTTTCTTTCTTTCTCTCTTTCTTTCTCTCTTTCTTTCTTTCTCTCTTTCTTTCTGTCTCTCTCTGTCTCTCTCTGTCTGCCTTTCTTTCTTTCTTTCTAAGTTTATTTCTTCCATGAGTGAGAAGGGAATAGAGACAGGCACCCTCATGGGGTCTTCCTGCTGTGATTTATCCCCAGCCTGGGTCATAGGTATCTGTACGCCCTGTGTACTCAGGAAAGCACCAGCATGCGAACCAGGGACCTTTCCCATGTGGGTCCAGTTGTGTGGCCACTGTGTCACCACTTGATCCTAGACTTTTCTCCTTCATTATAAAAGTAATGCATGTTCATTGCATAAAATTTAGAGTACAAAAAAGCACTAAGACTGTCACTATTATTTATTCATTTTATATGGAATACTTGGCGAACTGTGAATACTTAAACTTAATGGGCAACATTTAGCAAATGGTTAAAAGGCAGTTAGAAAGGCAGGATAGCCAGTTACTTACAGGCTCAGAAGTAGGGAGGTGTCTAGTGGAGGTGGGAGAGGGGGAAATGGTCGTGGTGGTATAAAAGTAAGTAAGAACAACCAGGACTGGCCCTGTAGCATAGCGCTTAGGCACTGTGTGGTGGAAACTGAATGTCACATGGCCAACTTGTGGTTGAAAAACATGGCTTGAAAAAATATGCCAGGGAGTATATGAGCACGTGTGCCCAGGATCCTGATAGGGTAGAGGAACAGAGGAAAGTGGTTGCCATTTGACTCCAGCCCTATTAGGGGTAATTTCCCCCTCTGGTGTATACATGCATTCTTTGGCATTAAAAAAAATACAAAACAAAAAAGAATAGCCACATCCATTACTTTGACCTTCATAATTTAGTAGCTCTAGAAACATGTAAGAAGTACAGTATAAAGGACAGATGTTGTTTAGAGTTTTTTTTTTTTTAGGAGAATGCAGTGTATTCATTCAGAAGAAATGATATGTGCAAAGGCAGAACTATTCAAGAGCATGGTATGGCCAGGAGGTGGCAGGCAGCTAGGGACGATTAGGATACAGGGTGTGTTAGGAAGGATCAGAGGTTGGAGTTGGTATGTGCATAGGTAGTGAGAGCTAGAGTGAAGCAATTTCTAAGCCAAGAGTTTAGAATCTATCCTGTACTTGACTAATGACATGTACGGATTGGCATTTTGGAAAATAATCCTGGATTAGGAGAAATTAGGTCATTTGTGATCCTGTTAGAATAAGTTGTTCAGACAATAATTAAGGAAGGCTTAAATTAAAAGTGTCATAGTATTCTTGTAGAGGAGAGAACAGATTTGAAACGTATGTAGTAAGTTAAATATACAAGGCCCCATGCTGGTTCAGATATGGGGCTCACTTGAGGGGGACTAGGGAGAGGAGGATTTTCAGGGGTCTACCACCTAGGAGTCTGGGTAGGTAGTAGGTCTGATCACTAATAAGGAATTGGTGAATAGGCCGATTTGGTTTGGGAAATTGAAAAGTCAAACTTTAAGGCACAAAGCATCTCTAAGGACAGCTCTATGAGTAAAGAGTGAATAAGAGATGACTGAATTTGGGAAGAGACTGGAAGGGAAGTGGGCTAGTGGGTTGTGCAGGGCCTCACAAGTTGCCACTCATCACTTTTTTTGTGGATGTGAAGTCTGGCTCTCAGCCTCACAATTTAAGGACTCCTTCCTAACCCCTTTGCTCAGAGTTCTGTAGGTGTTCAATTTTGTAGCTAACTAGGTTCATGGGACCAGTTGAAGAAAGCCATTCCTTTATTCAGTCAACGATGTTTGTGTAGCTGTGCTTTACATGAGAGTGAGCAGAAATACAGCCTTTGCCTATAAGCAGCTTATGGTCTTTTGGGGAGTGTAGACAAAGAGACAGCTGGCTGTGAACAATTGGACATATATATGTGTCACACTTTTCGTGCAGTGTCTTCATGCTGGGAAAAGCTATTTGGTATGCTGTAATGATACATAGTGATTGACTGTAAAAAGACAAAAGAAAACAAAACACAAAAAAAATGTGATGTGACCATGCAGTTTAGATAAGCTTTCCCAGGGATCAGACTGTAAAAAGACAAAAGAAAACAAGAAACAAAAAAAATGTGATGTGACCATACAGTATAGATAAGCTTTCCCAGGGATCAGAGTATCTGTATCATCCACTCTCCAAGCTACGTCTTGCCAGTATCAGAGAATCTGGGAAGCTGAATTAGAATTTCATGAGGAAGTTGCTGGTGGGCATAGACACAGCAAAGAGGCCTTTTCCATCAGGGCTCTCTTGTAATTCAAGTATCAATAATTTGCCTGTTTTGTAATTAGAATGATGCATGTACTCATTCCCTCTCTGTCTGGTTCTCACCTAGGCTGTCTTGGAAGTGCTTAATAAGCACTGATAGTTTGTCAGAATCCTTATTTTCCTGATATTTTTTCATAATCCAACTTTCTGATTCATGAACTCTATGTCTATTTATTTACAGCTTCCTTTTTTACTTGCCCGTCTACACATTTACAAATCACTTCTCAGCACGCATTATTTTTGTGGATGGCTCATGTCATTAATTGAGAATTAATTCTGCAAAATTGTACTCTCAAAGGGTCGTAGGAGGCTTTGGTGTGGCCTCTTATACTGACTGTAGAGGATACCAGAAATACATATGAATATCAGTCTACTTGAAAAGAATAGAAGATTGAGTTTCGACAGGTTGACTTACAAAAATTTCAGTTTCATATCAAAATTCACCAGTGTTGCAGAAAGAGATGTGGGGTTATGGAAAGAATGGTAGCTCTATTACGTATGTGCAAATAAAACAGATTTTTCTTTCATGTTTTGAAAAAAGGGTATGCTTTCAATTTGATAAAATATCCTTGTCTCACAGGGACCCTTTCTAAGCAATTGTAATTAGAGAAAATTTCCCTCAAAGAGCTTTTGTAGCCATCACATTCATTTTGCAGTAAAGGTATCATGGGCCAAGTTTAGGATGTTTAAGTGTCAGTATCTTGAGATCCCGGACAGGGTTTTACAACTTTGGAGTGTTCTGTAGTAATCCTCTTAAAATCTATACTATCACCTTTGTGGGTTAATGTATTGTGCAAAGTTCTTTTGTTTGAAACAGATGTAATAGAGCTTCATTATACACAGATACTCCAAAAGGATGAACAAGGTAAATGACTGGAACGTGTCTGTAATACAGAAAATGGAGCACTTTCACTATTAGTGGCACAATCAGCTTATGCCCAAGGGCAAATGCTTTGAGCATTCTTTTTTTACATTTTTCTTTGTAACTAATTCATGCATTCTTGAATTCATAGTACCTTGATCCATAAGCTTGGGGGCTTTTTTATACGACGGAGGCTAGATGAAACACCAGATGGTCGGAAGGATATTCTCTACAGAGCTTTGCTCCATGGGGTACGTATGGTCTCTAGTTATCCTTAAAGCCATTGTGTTAGTTATCACAGTGGAAGGAAGAAGAGACTTGAGTGAAAGTTTTGAAAAACTGCTGTGTGAGTAATCTGAGTAATTATTGCTTGGGTATGAATTTGATGATGATTTTTTTTTTTGGAGAGGTTTTTGTTATAGAGCACATACGCTCACCAGGAAGACAGAGGGAGACAGCGAGACAGAAAGTGAGAAATCAACCCCCAGGGGGATGGCCAGGCTGCCATCCCTTATCCTCCATTCTCCTCTCGGGTGTGCACCCGGCGTGAGTTTAACCCCCAGGTCTGGGACTCGAACCGTGGTTGACTACATGGGAGTCAAGCGACATAGCCATTACGCCAACTGCTGGTCCCTTGATGATTTTTTTGTTGTCACCAAAGGATAGCATTGGCGGAATGGCTTAGCTATAATTAGTATGATAAAATATTTTGTCATTAGTGAAGTTACACGTTTTTTCTTTTGATTTTTTAAGATTCAGTTTTTGTGAGCTCATTCTAAGTTGGGCAGCCTGAATTCATGTTTTACTTTCCCTTATACTCTCCCAGCATATAGTTGAGTTACTTCGACAGCAGCAGTTCTTGGAGATTTTCCTGGAAGGCACACGCTCTAGGAGTGGAAAAACCTCCTGCGCTCGGGCAGGACTTCTGTCAGTTGTGGTGGATACTCTGTCTACCAATACCATCCCGGACATCTTGATCATACCTGTTGGCATCTCCTATGATCGTATTATTGAAGGTCACTATAATGGTGAACAGCTGGTAAGGAAACTGCCTGTCTAGGTCATCTTTGCTTGTCTAGTCTTGCTTTTGGATTTAATACCTTGCGTTTAGATTTTCTTTGAGAATTAAGTAAAAGTATTTTCTTGTTATTTTCTATTTTGAAAGCACTGTATGAATCTGGCTCAGTGGGTATGGTGAAGTGGTTTGCTCCTATGGTGGTGGTTCTTTTTTTGCTCTTGGAGGAAGTGATACAGTTAGATGTATTAGTTCTGGCGTTGGTCATAGGATTGGGAAGAGGAAGAGTGAAGAGCACTTGTCATTGGGTTGTCCTGTGCACGGTGGGAGGTTATCTGTGGGCTGTTCTCCCCTGAGCTTACGTTTCATGTGCATATTTTAAGTTACACTTGAACTGTTGAGGTCGAGTCAGCAAAATGACTACAAATTAATTTGAGAAGGAGCTTTCTTTTTTATATGCTAGTTTACACATTTCAGTCATTTTTTCAGTAAACGTACTGAAGTAGTTGCAAAAGAGTTCACAAATCATAAGCATGTAGCTGGAATTATCACAAAGTGAACACACCAGGTAACCTGGACCCAGGTCAAGGAATAGAATGATCAGGATCCTAGAAACCCCCTTGTGCTCCTCCTGTCACTCTCGCCTCAAGAATAACCACTGCCTTTGACTTCTTACAGGATAGATCAGTTTTGCCTATTTTCTTTTTAAAACATTTTTCTATAGGGCATGTGCGATTGCCAGAGACCAGGTTGCGGGGGGAGTAAATAGAAAAGCACACCCTGAAGGGATGGCTACACCACGATCCCTTCTCCTCTTGATACTGGGCATGAATGCACATGCACAGATACCCAGAGTGTTTTTCAAGCTGCCTATTTGGGATTCAAACCACCTTTGGCCACATGGGACCCAGCTGCTTTAACCACCATGCTACCTGCTGGCCCTTAATTTTGGATTTTGTATAAATGGAATCATTTGTGGCATGTGGTCTTTTTTTTTTTTTTGCATTTGATTTCCTTTGCTGAAGCAGGTGTTTGTGAGATCCATCTATGCAGTTGCATAGTTGTGTAACATTCCAACATATCGATATAGCACAGTTTATTCTGCTATTGAGAAAAAGCTTGGCTGTGATCATTCTTGTATCTTTCTCTTGATGACCATTTGCTTTCATTTTGTTGGGCATGCACCTAGAAGAATTGATGGGTCATAAAGTATATGTATGTGTTCAGCTTTAGTAGATACTGCCAAACACTTACCAAGTGGTTTTTACCAACTTACCACTCCTGTCAGCAGTGTGAGAGTTCCAGAGGAATTTAGTTTGTTCTTATTTCATGTGGAAGTCTTGGGCAGAGTTCTTGTTTCAAGCTTACTGCTCCACACATATGAGAAGTTCAAGGATACTTGACAATCAGAGCCTTTAAAAATTATGTGCTAGACCTGGATTTTTATCTGTATGGCACTCTTCTTATGTGGTAAGAGTCTGTTCTTGTTGTGTAACCTATTCGTCCTGCCTGTGTCTCATGAGGGCATATCTGGATCTTTGTGTCCAAGATATGGCCTGTCATTGTGCTTTATGTATAATAAATGCTCAGTAAATGTTTGCTAAATGAATCACGAGCTCAAAGGCCACTGTGAGACTGGCTTTGGCACTCAGTAACGTAATGTGAGATATTCAGATCTCAGATGAGTGGCCTCTTCAGAAACTTGTTTTTTATCAAGAACCGCAGAGCAGTTTTTCAGGCAATTGTGTCATTTTCTCTTTTACTAGTTTGCTGTATTTTTGTGAATTGTGTGAACATCGTGCTAAACAAACTAGTGTTAAATGTTCTGTTTTTCACTGAAAAAATAACCTCCCCCAATAACATGATTGCACCTATTAACGTCTCTAAATACTAAACATGTTTTGACGGGTCTCAGTTAATGAATACTTATTTTCCTTCTTTATTCTTCATCATCTTTTTCAAGGGGAACTGCCAGTGTTCTTAAAAAAATTATTCTGTGGATAACAAAGTATCTGTGTATGTGAGCTATATTTTTCACTATTTTATTCTTTCCCTACCTATTGGAATTTAGGGCAAACCTAAGAAGAATGAGAGTCTTTGGAGTGTAGCAAGAGGTGTAATTAGAATGTTACGAAAAAACTATGGGTGTGTCAGAGTGGATTTTGCACAACCATTTTCCTTAAAGGTGAGTGTCTTTTTTTTTTAGGAAGATTTTTGCTATAGGTTGCATGTACTTACTGGAAAGACAGACAAAATGATAAATCATCCCCCAGGGGGATGGCCACACCACACTCCCTCCTTCTTCATTCTCCTATTGGGAATTTGGGTGCATGCTCACATGTGCCCTGTGTGAGTTTCAAGCTGCTGAGTCCAGGACCCGAACCATGGTTGGCCATGTGGGAGTCCAGCAAAATAACCATTACATCATCTGCTGGTCCTTAAAGGTGACTGTCTTAAATGAAACTGCATTGAAGCACTGACCTGGAATCAGAAGATCTGGATGCTGGAACTGGCTCTAACACCACTCCTTTGTGTGATTCAGGGCCTTGGTTTCCACTTCTGTAAAGTGAGGAATCTGACAAGAGTGGTGGTTTCTAAAATTTTTCTACCCAAGTATGCTTATAGACAAAGGAGAGTAAATGTCTATCTTTGGGAATGATCAAGCTTCTCATTGATTGCTATTTTTTTTTTTTTAATCACAATACTCACCCTTCCTTCCTCCCTTCCTTCCTTTCTTTTCTTTCTTTCCTTTCTTGGCTCTCCAGAGAGACAGAAATCACCCCCAGGGGGATGACCATGCCACAGTCCTTTTCTTTCATTCCACTCTTTGGATTTGGGGCACATATACACACATGCCCAGTGTGAGTTTCAAGCCCCTGGGTGTGGGACCCAAACTGCAGTCTGCCATGTGGGAGTCCAGCATGTTAATTACTATGTCATCTGCTGACCACATGTTGTTTTAGATGTTGTGGTTTTTTTTTTTTTTTTTTGAGAGGTTTTTGCTATAGGGCACGTGCACTCACCAGAAAGAGAGAGACAGAGAGACAGGGAGAAATCACCCCCCAGGGGTGATGGCCACACCGCAATCCCTTCTCCTCCATTCTCCCCTTGGGATCTTGGGTACACATGCACAAGCGCCCGGCGTGAGTTTAAGCCGCTGGGTCCTGGACTCGAACCATGGTCGACTACATGGGAGTCCAGCAACATAGCCATTATACTAATTGCTGGTCCCAGATGTTGGTATTTTATAGTATGTTTTAAGATGTCCTTAGTGGAAATTTTGAAAAATATTTCCTTTCAAAGATAGGTACAGTTGACAGGCTGGTGTCGTATGCTATTGAATAGATTTCAGTACCCCACGTTCCAAGGGTTTGTGCCATTTTCACTGAGAATCCTGAGACTGACAGGTCCTTGTTGTTTTAAATTGTAAAGATTTCCAAGTTGGTAAAGGAGAAAGGGAAGGGTGGGTGAGGAAGTAGAGAACTCAGGGATAAGGCACAGAGGCCCTCTCTCTCATTTTGTTTGACTTTTTGACTTAACTTTAAAAGAGTCTAACTGCTGTGCTAGCATTTTCTAGACTTAAATGCTTTTGGCTTTTAGGAATTTTATCATTTCTTACCACCTTTTCTTCATTTTCTATTTTTTAAAACTATTGCATGGATCCTCTCTCTTATGATTTTCTTTGAGTTGAGCATCTTTTGAATATTATGTGATACTGGGTTACCAGATACTCTTTACAGAAGTAAGGTTGTGTCAAGTATCATTATTGTTATTATTGAGAAGGTGAAATAATTTCAGGAAGATGTGAGAAAAGTTATAATTTTTCTTTAATTTGTAAATGATGTTATTTAAATATAATGCTGTCCTTTGTGTCTCCAATCTGTAAATTTCAGGCTTCCCAATATTCTCTGAATCACTCAGGACTTGGGAAAGACGTTCACAATATGGAAAGTAATTCCCATGCTCCGTCACATGACATACTGCCTAAACAGCTCCCTTTTAACTTTGGAAATATCAAATTATATCTTATATGTTGATGTGAAATAAGACAATGGGAGTAAAGATCACGCTATATTTTGTTTTGTTTTATTTTCAGGAATATTTAGAAAGCCAAACTCAGAAACCTGTGTCAGCCCCGCTTTCCCTGGAGCAGGCGTTGTTACCAGCTATCCTTCCTTCCAGGTAAGATTTGGGGACATTTTTTACACTAATTCGACTCTCCAGTATCTTGTTATTTCTTACATTAAAAATAGTTTAATTTGATTAAGAATGTACATCTTCTTTTCACTTCCCAACTCACGTAAGTTTTCACTTGGTTCAATGATACGTTCGCGTTTTACTTTGGTGGTTGTAGAATATTTGCATATGAAATATTTTTGATTTTGTGAATCACATAGGAGTTCTTATTTGATTTAAACTTTTGAATGTTTGAACTGAATTAGTTTTGATAGTAGCTTAGGTTATACACATTATATAGGTGAAACCTAGCAAAGAATTTTGCTATTTGAATTTTCCAGAATTTACATTGAATTATAACTTAGAGAAATTGAATATGAAGTCCCTCCTTTAATATGTGGGAGGGTCGAATTAGCAGAAATGTTTAAAAAGGAATCATCTTGCCATCTGCATTCTTTCTACCAGCTTATTTTGGAGGAGACATACTAATAGGCTATTTGGTCATAACTAAGTAACATGTTTTAGCCAGGAGAGTGTTTTACACATATTAGTATATTGTGGAGAAAATAATTCTCATAGAAATAGTTTATTTCTGATTTAAATTTGAAATATGTAGTATTTACTTTTTTTTTTTTTAAGGAAATTTTTACTATAGGGTGTGTGCACTTGCTGGAGAGACAGACAGGGGGATTTAAAGTGAGAGATCATCCCCCATGGGAGATGACCACACCGCAGTCCCTTCTCCACTCTCCTCTGGGGATTTTGGGCATGCATGCACACATGCCTGGCGTGAGTTTTAAGCCCTGGGTCTGGGACTCTACTGGTCCCAGTATGTAGTATTTAAAATATCTGATACATTTATAAGTTAATCCTATATAGTTTGCCTTGTAAAAGAGTGGGTTCTAGAAGGTTGATTTTTAAACTTTTTTTCAGACCCAATGATGCTGCTGATGAAGGTGCAGACACGTCCATGAATGAGTCCAGAAATGCAACAGATGAATCCTTCCGAAGAAGGCTGATTGCAAATCTGGCTGAGCACATTCTATTTAGTGAGTAGAACATCTTTAGCTGTACAGTTCGGAATGGGGATGGTGCAGTGCAAGCCGTACAGGCTTGCAGTTCAGCGTCCTCTCCACTAGTTCTATTACGTCCTTCACAGGTGGCGGTAGGAAAGTTATTAGAAAGAATGTGGCACTGTGGGATTTGAGATGCCGCGAGTAAGACATCTCACCCAGTGCATGATTATTAGTAGCTGCCTGTGTGGTGTACATATGCTGGCTTAAGAAAACATATTGTCAAAGTGAATTTGTTGCTTTTCTTCCCCATGACTATGTTTTCTTGAACTTATTTGTGGTACACCTAGGTGTAAGTGGCATGTCCCTTTCTCCTCTGACCCAGTGAGTATTTTTATTCAGCACATACTGAGGGGGTATTACGTGTAAAGCTCTGTTTAGCTGTGGGAAATATAAATTGAGTATTTAATGGTTCTGCACTCAAAGAGCTGTGCTCTGCTCAGTGGGAGAGCTGTACACAAATGATTGAAGTGGGAGTGACCCAGAGTGGAGTTGAGTGCAGAACCCGCCCAGAGTTCCAAGTTGCAGCATGTTTAATGTTACAGAAGCTGCTTTGAGTCCCTGGGACTCAGCCCTGGTGTGCTCTCCCTCCAACCATTTCCTGGGCCACATCCCTGGTCAGACTCCTGGCCCTTCCTGCCAGTGCTCTTGTGGAGGCTTTCTTTTCTCATCAACCCTGTCTCGCTCCTTCCACCCTGGCTGCTCCTGTTCCTACTTGACTCTGGAACAGGAGATTCTTTCTTAAGCACCTCCAATTGTGTCTCTCACCTACTTGAAATCTATATGTAAAACAAAATAGAACAAAACAACCCCGCCCTTGGTGTTGAAGAGTTGGAAAAGATGAATTTAGTTAGCAAAAATCCATTACCCAAATAACTAGTGGTGTTTACTTCTAGTCTCTAAAAATATTGTTTATGGTTTTGTATTGTGCTATTTTCCATGTCTAACATAGTTATTCACGTTTAAAAAAGCTTTTTATGAACATTCTTTTTAATGAATATAAACAAGATACTGAGTACTTTTTTTAAAAAAAAAGCTCAATTCGACTTCAGTTGTGAGTACAGTATTCATAAATCCATTGCCAGCTCTCAGAAAACTCACACATGATGTCTCCATTTCAGATTATTCCACTGATGTCTTCACATTGAATTTATATGGGTATTATTTTTCTACAAATTCCAAGTGTTGGGCTATGCACTGTATTTATTTTCAAATGTATTTCCTCCTTCCTGCCTACTTCTGGGCCATGATGGAAAAAATAAATGCAAATATATTGAGTACTCATGACAGTGGGTGCTGTGCTAGGTCAGTGAGTTCATTTTTACACAGCCTGACCAGCTAGGTAGTAATTCTGCCAGTCTTGATGAGGCTCAGTAACTTAAGTAATTTTCCCCAAGTCATGACATCAGTGTAAAAGATTATGAGCCCAGATTTTTCTGACATCAAATCCATCTCCCCACCACCACCATAGCTTCATTTTACTTTGGTAAAGAATACCTAAAAGAAGAGTGAAAGAGAGTTGTGGTTGATAGCAGACTTCAGCGAGGAAGAGTCAGGAAACAGGGAAACGAGATATTCTGTAGAGCTTCCAGAGCAAGCTCTTACTTTGGGTCTTGGTATTTCAATGCAAGTGTCTCTTAGTCTTTTAGTAATTGCATTCTAGGGGCCTGGATGAAGATGGGCCTGTGGCAGGCTGTTACGTGATGAACAGTGATCTCCAGTGAGGGACTGTGGTATAAAACACTGTGTAATGTTATAACTTTCTTTTGGTAAATCACCATTATGGGAAATGTGGTAGAGAACTTTTCTACATTTAAAATGTAGGTACTTTTAAAATGTTTCAGCTCTATTAGAAAATGACCATAATTAAAACTGTATGTTTGCGTTCTAGCTGCTAGCAAGTCCTGTGCCATTATGTCGACACACATTGTGGCCTGCCTGCTGCTCTACAGACACAGGCAGGTACGTCTGCAGTGTCACCTGGAATTAATCTCATGCCGGGCGTGTGTGTGTGTGTGTGTGTGTGTGTGTGTGCCCACAATATCGAGAGAGGAGAGTACTTTCTGTCTCTCTCTGTTTTTCTGGCAAGTGCATGCGCCCTATAGCAAGAACCTCTCCAGGGGACCAGCAGTTAGCGTAATGGCTATGTCGCTGGACTCCCACATAGTTGACCGCGGTTCGAGTCCCGGACCTGGTGGCTTGAACTCATGCCATGCGTGTGTGCGTGCGTGCCCAAGATCCCGAGAGAAGAATGGAGGAGAAGGGATTGCGGCGTTGCCATCCCCTCTGGAGGGTGATTTCTCGCTTTCTATCTCTCTGTCTCTGTCTGGTGAGCGCACGCGCCCCATAGCAAAAACGTGCCCTCTCCAAAAAAAAACAAAAAAAACAAAAAAAAACACCTCTCCAAAATAAAAAAGAAACTAATATTTGAGTGTTAGCATGTTTTATCAGCTATTCATATACTAACTCAGAAGTGGATTTGGCCTACTCCTGGTCAGTACCATACAAAATACAGTAAAATAAGGTAAGGACCTTGTCCAGAGGAGCTTACAGACATGGTAGAAGAAGAAATCTACTGTATATGAAAAAAAAAATCAGATTGCTTTATATATGTGTGTGCGTGTGTGTGTGTATGCGAGATATTATTTGATTAATATAAATGTATATTTCATTGCAGTAAATATTCTGGTAGATAACAGTTTCTAAGCAATTTGATTTGTATTTTTTTTTTTTTTGGAGAGGTTTTTGCTATAGGGCGCATGCACTTGCCAGACAGACAGAGAGAGACAGACAGAAAGCAAGAAATCACCCCCTAGGGGTGATGACCACGCCGCAATCCCTTCTCCTCCATTCTCCTCTCGGGATCTTGGGCACACACATGTGCCCAGTGTGAGTTTTAAGCCACCGGGTCCGGGACGCGAACCACGGTCAACTGCGTGGGAGTACAGCAACACAGCCATTACGCTAACTGCTGGTCCCTTGATTTGTATTTTTGAACCCACACTCTACCCTCCCACAGTGTTCTTGTCTGAGCTGTTTGATGGGGTAGACCAGGGCTATCTTGTTTGAAGACATGCTCTGAAATAGTGCCAAATATAGGCTCCAAATGTTTGTTACAGATACGTAAAATGAGAGAAATTCTTGTGGTAAAATGAGCACTTCTTACTTTTAGATGACTTCTGTCCCTTGTGATCTTACTGCTGATATATCATGTGACTAGAGTGTTCTCTGGCACGTGGGCTACCTTGACATTCCTGAAGGACCAGCTTTTTAAACAGTTTTCTTACTTGCTCTGCAGTAGTGCTCTGGTCCTATCTCTGTTCAGGAACGCCATAGGAAGAAGATCGTCTTTGGGATGTAGGCCTCTTGGCCCTTTGAAAGTAGATCGTCTGCTATCATGAGGCCATTTCTGTCTTTGTCTAGGGAATTGATCTCTCCACGTTGGTGGAAGACTTCTTTGTGATGAAGGAGGAAGTACTGGCTCGTGATTTCGACCTGGGGTTCTCAGGAAATTCAGAAGATGTAGTCATGCATGCCATACAGCTGCTGGGAAATTGTGTCACGATCACCCACACTAGCAGGAACGATGAATTCTTTATAACTCCCAGCACAACTATTCCTTCAGTCTTCGAACTCAACTTCTACAGTAACGGGGTACTCCACGTCTTTATTATGGAGGCCATTATAGGTAGGTCAGGCCCTGGAATATTCTTATGCAAAGTGTAAGTGCCCAAAACACATAGGCGTGTCTACTTTAATTTAATTAAGAGCTCCTCATTTGAGGGAATGCATTGCTGTATTTTTAGTTCTCAAATGCAAATGTAATCTGCTGCTATATCAGCATTTGTGACTATACTGAGTGGTTACTGAGTCACTTTATGCATCGTATTACACTTGTTACTGTGATGGAGAGGTATCTTGCTGTCCAGGAGCTGAAAATCTAATTGAGATGAAACCTACACAGAGAGAATTCAGAGGAAGGACAGTAGAGTAGACTGAAACCCTTGGGAAGGTCTTTGATGGAGTTATAATCACATGGAATCATGAGAGTCCAATCTCGTGGGGATTTACGTTAATTTCTCCAGCAAATGGAGATTTTTCTCCAGCAAATTATCTTTGATATATTAACAGTTTCGTATGGTATTCTGAATTATTCCAGCCAGTTGACGTTTTTCTTGGAGATATACAGCTGGGGACTTAACTGTTGCTTTTGTGTCCTTAGCCTGCAGTCTTTATGCGGTTCTGAACAAGAGGGGCTTGGGAGGGCCTGCCGGCACCTCC